CCAACCTCCCCATAACTTCTCCTGTTGATAAAAATGATCAATTCTCCTGTGACCAGGAGGTACCTGGAAGGTCTCGTTGTGCCCCTCAACCACTACCAAATGGAAGAAATCACATTAATGATGATTAAAAGTAGCCCTGGTGCTGTGGCTTTGTGAGAGACCCCATGGAGTGAAGATGCTGCAGCTCCTGGAGATGTTGGGTGATAAAATCCACACCCAAAGCTGCCCCCAGGGGAATGGGAAGCACCCAGGAGGCTCCAGGCTCATCCTGAGCACCCTCTGGGCACCCAGATGCTCTCAGGGGTGGATTTTAAAATCATTTTTACTCCTAAATGCCTCATTGGGACAAGGAGCAGCTGTGACCCATCACCAGCTCATGGGAACATCTCCCCCATTAGGTTCCAGGACTCAGCCTTTCCTCAAGGTGCAGCAAACACTTAATAAAAATAATTCCCATTATAAACCCTTGCCTCTCCAGCCCCTCTGGAGAATTGGCAGCATCTGGGGAAGCTGCTGAGAACCATGAGCAGTCATGAGGAGAGACCTGGCAAAACACAGGAGCAAATCCCTTTTCTTTTTAAACTGGTTTATTCTACATAAATCTTTTAAACAACATTCATAAAACATTAATTACAAAAAAATGTGCTAATATGGGGTAGGTTTCTTTCTTTTTATTTTTTTAATTTTTTTTTATTCCAACAATCAGAAATTCACATTTTGAAAGGATAGGCATACTTTTAAGAGACACATTCACTTTACTTCCAGATACAAAATTTTGAGGGGTTATAAATCACTTACAAGGAGCAGATGTCAAAAGAAAAAAAAAAAAAAAAAAAGGAAAAAGGAATAATTTTAAGCTTCAGGATCTGATTTCAGCATTGAATTGAGCAGCTGCTTTTGGACCACTGGCTCTGCTGCTCTGCCCAGGGTGCCCAGCAGGATCAATCTCAGAGCCACAAACAGCACAAAAAAAAAATCTCAGAGCCTGGAGCACAGCAGAAAAAAACAGGATTGCAAAGCTACCAACGGTGCTGCAGCCTTTTATTGAGTCTTTCTAGTGGGTACAGACATGGAGAGGGTTCATCCCACCCCAAAAAAGCCACGGGCAGAATGTTTTCCATCAAGAAGGGAGCAAATGCCAGCTGTGACTTTGGAATCTGCTGAGCAGGGTGATGGCAGCAAGGCTGGAGGTCCTGCTTCAAAAAAAACAATTACCCAAAATGGCCAAAATTCAAACCTCCACCCCGGTGCTCTTATGTGGAGCCAGCTCCAAAATCCACCCATCCAAAAGCAAATATTTGGCTTCATCCTGCTGGATTTCAGGGCAGGGGAGGGGGGAGCAGGGTAATTTCCTAATTGCCCTCAGCCTCCCCAGAAAAATCCTGCCTCTGGCTCTAACGGGTTGAAATGGATGAAACAGGATACGCTGGGAAAGTTCAGGCCTGGAGAAGTCGTGTTCTTTCCCGAAAGGATTGGGTTGAACGCTCTCGGGAGCCAAATCCCGACAGGGTTTAGGCAATTTGGCCATGGCCCACCAGAAGGGGAGCATCACCTCAGTGCAGAAACTCCAGTAAACAACTCATCTGACACACCACGATTAAAAATCTACAAAAAGGACTAAAAAAGAGTTGAATTCCTTGGTAAAACAGCCCCCAGGTCTTGTCTCTAATGCTGCAGGAGGGGCTGTGCTTGCTGGGCCAGGCACAGGAGGGTGCAGGATGAGCCTTGGGGAGAAGGGTACAAAAAGAGGAGGAACCTTGGAGGTACAGAGCCCCCTCCAAAGCCATGTTTTGCAGAAAACAGGAGGGATTTCGTGCCTTTCCTCTCGGCTGGGAAGGTGGATCCCAGCCCTGCACCTGCAGGGTTTCACCACCGAGGTTTACGGGAAGAGGGGATGCGGGGACACCCGCGGGGTCTGGCCTTGAGGGGAGCGCTGAGGGCACAGAAAAATATTTACAGAAATAAAACTACAAAGTCCTCCCCGACAGGGGCTGTGGTCCCACCAAAGGCCAGTGATAACCTCCCTGTCAGCAGGGCTCAAATCCACACAGTGGCTGTGCCAGGCAGATAAAGAACCCAAAGCAATGGCCCAGGGTCACCCCTGCAGACCCAAGGCCTCTCAGAGCTCCATCCACCTCTGCTTTTGCTTTCCTGCCAAGGGCTCTCAAAAAGAAAGGAAACAGCTTTATTTTGGTTTGTTACTTGCCCAAGGAATCCCTCTCTGTGCCAGTTCCATGCCTGGAGTTACTCAGAGCACCTTGGAGGAGGATTTAAGGAGCACTTGTCAATCATTGTCCCCAGAGGGTACGAGGGTGGCTTGTAAGCACCAAAAGAGCTGCTCAAGTCCACGTTTGGTGGCATAAAGGTGGAGGGGAGGGGCTGCTCTGCTTGCCTTGGCTTTCAAAGTCATCCCAATTTTCTGCTCCCAGCTGGAAAAGGAGAAGCAGACTCTGCCAGCATGGAAATAATTGAAGCTAAAATAATCAAGGTGACCCCAAACAAAACTGTAGGGTGCAGGAGCACACAAAAGCCAGGTTTGCAGTGAAGGACGGAGAGACAGCAAAAGTCTCAGCTGGATCTGTCCCCTGCATTCAGAGGATTTGATCCCTGTTCACTTTGATCCAGGTGAGGATTAAATGGCCACTTATAGATGCAAGTGTCGGCCAGGGTTCAAATGCAGAGCAGCTGAGATCCTCAGCACCAAATCAGGCTGCCCAGAGCAAATTGCTCTTGGCACCCACGTACCAAAGAGAGCCTCTGCTGCCACGCAGAACATTCCCATGGCACTGCCAGGGAAAGGCAGGAATGCCCTTGCCCAGCTGCTGGCCACCTCCAGGCAGCTCCTCCAGGCAGCTCAGCCCAGGGGGTGATGAAGCTCCTCGAGTTCAGCCCCAAAGCACCACCGCGGTGGGAGGCAGAGCCAAAACCTCCTGAAATTGGGGGCTCTGAAACCCCAGGGTACCACAGCAGTCCTGCAAAAGCCCTGTGCTTGGCTGGCAATTAGGATGTGGCCTTCCCACAGCTCCCACAGCAGAGAAATGTTAGGAAACCTCAACCCCAGCCGGAGAGAGGCCAGAATTTGATAAATTTAAGCTCTGTGACTTTGAAACTTGTGTTTGTCTGGCTGCAGGACCTCAGGGCAGGGCAAGCTACAGTGGAGCAGCTCCTGCATATTGTTTCAAAACTGAAAAAAGCTCTAAGCCATGAATCATGGCACTTCCCAGGCAGCTCCCAAAGCCCTGCTACCCTTCCCATCACAAACACAACCATCCCTGGAGCCCTTCCAGCTCAGCTGTCCCCCTCCATCTCCTCAGCCAGAGCGAGAGGAGTTAAACCCGAGGCCTCACCCTGCAGTAGAGGAGAAAAAAAAAAAAAAGAAAGAAAGAAAAAAAGAAAACAAGTTGGTTTTGAACACCCTTAAGGTAAAGATTTAAGAGGCAGCCCCAGCCCAGCCCCGAGCAGGCGCTGCTGGGACACGTCCTGTACTCACTGCACACTTACATAAGGCTCTGCAGCTCTGCAAACACCCCACCACGGGGTGAAGTGGGGCTCTCCCCTCTCCCTTTCACCTCTTTCCCACCCAAGGGGTTCAGCCCCCTCCTCTTCCCTTGCTGGCTCCCAAAACTGGCCGAGTCTGGAGTGCTGGGCTCCCCCTTCCCTTCCCAGAGCAAGGGAGAGGGGCAGGAATCACAGCCTGGCACTCGCAGAGCAGGGAGAAGGTTGGGTTCTTAATTAGAAAAGTGAGTAAAAGGCAGCCCCAGAGGGGATGTGGATGTGCTGGGCTAGAACAAAATGACCCTGATGGAACAGGAGGGCCTTTGGGATGAGGCTTTTTGCAGCACTTGAGGACACATTTGGCGTCACCACCAGACCACCACAGGCTGAAGGGACCTTTTGGGGAACAGTGCAACCCCTCTCTGTTTCATGGGAGCTGCAATCACAAAATCCCACTCTCACATGCAGGAATTCTTGCAAACTACCTGGTATTCAAAAAAAACCCCAAACTAGACCCACAGCAGCAGCAGCAGCAATCTGACAAACAAGCCTCAAATACTCCCTCTATGTTGACACTGCTCCAACCTTTGCCCTTCCCATTCCCATCTGTGTTTGCTGATGAGGAGACCTTCCATGGCCGTTGTCCAAACCTGCCTTCCCCACTGCAGAATTTGTCCTTGTGTCCACCAAGGGCAGGATTTCGACCAGACAAAGACACTGAGTGTGGTTTTGGAAAGTTGGTATGGGATAGGATCTCCTGTCTCCTGGAGGGTCAATAATAAAAAACATGGGGAAAGATCAAGATTTAGGGGGGGCAGATGTGGGTACCAGCACCCCTCCTGGGCTGACACAGCTGCTCTGATGCCACTGCAGGGCTAAGCACCCCTTGCAGGCTCCTCCCAGGATAAGGACCTTTGCAGGCACATGGAGCAGTTAAGGCAAGTGGAATTCTGTAGAAATTTGGGATTTGAACCATAAATCCCCTTAGGAGCCAGGGAGGCTTTGCCCCACAAAGTCTGGGTGCAGCCATCAGTGGGCTCTGCTGTGCAGCTGCTCCCTCAGCCCAGATGGGGTTTGGAGACAGTTCTGCTCGTGCTCCGCTTGCTCTGAAGAAACTACTTTTGGAATTTAAATCTCTCCTAATCTCTCCTTTGGGGGGTATTAAGGTCCAAAAGATGATTTTGTGAACTTCATCAAACTCCAATGTGAATTAATGCCCCAAAACTCAAAGGGGGAGTTACAATGAGGGAGTTTTTTTATTCCCTTCAGCTGTCAGAGGGCTTTGAAGCTGCCCCACTGCCAAGGCTCCCACCCAAAAAGCACCACATTAACGCCCTGCCCTGGGCTGAGTCTGGCAGATCCCAGCTGGAGCTGGGGTTCCGTGGCTCAGGCCCTGCCTCCTCCTGCAGCTTCATCTGCCTCCTGTGGCTCCCAAAACTCAGCAGAGCCACAGCAGACGACGTGATGCAGGCCCTGAAGGGTAGGAACAGTCATGGAAAAGCACATCCAAGAAAGAGACAGGTAGACATCTCATTTTATATCATAAACAGACACGTCACAACACACCAGGTAATTTTCCAGCTCGTACGGGGACAGAAGGGCCACAAGACCACAAGACCTTACAAATGCATCAGCCAACAGGGGTTAAAAACAGGGCCAGAGGGACATGCAGGGTCCTGAGCCTATTATGTACAAAAGTCCCACTGCTGCCCGTGGGTGGGGCCTCCACTGAGCCCAGATTTCCACAGCAAAGACGTGTCCTGGTGTTACAAACCCCCACACTCGCCCCGAGACCAAGGGATGATTCCCACGCCACACATCCCTCTTCAGACATCTCAGCTTTTTAGTGAACACATGAACAAAATGAAAATCTGATGAAGGATGGGTTTGCAGTCAGGATAAATGTGAGTTTTGTTTCGTGCTCTCTCCCAGGAAAAGGTACCCCAGTCCCAGCTGTCCTTGTTCACACAGGGACTCACCAGGGCAGGAGAACTTCCCTTCTCACTCATTAGCCACGCTCATTAGCAAGCCCTGGAGATGATCATAGAATCATGGAATGGTTTGGGTTGGAATGGACCTTAAAGCTCACTCATTCCAGCCCCTTGCCATGGGCAGGGACACCTTCCACTATCCCAGGTTGCTCCCAGCCCTGTCCAACCTGGCCGGGAGCACTTCCAGGGATGGGGCAGTCACAGCTTCTCTGGGCAATTTGAATTTCTACAATTATCTGTGGGCACTGATGGATTCCTGCCCGAGGCTGAGCTCTGCTGCCCCTCGGTGTGGTGGGTACCCACTGGCTGTGTGATTTCCTTCCTTTCCTTCCCTCTCCACCTGGGTCAGCACTGACCCTGCACCAGCTCAGTGACAACACACGGGCTACAAGTAAAATGCTACTGGGACTGTCCAACCCTTTGGAAAAGTGGGATTCCCCACCAGCACTGACTCATGCTTATTGCTGAATAATACACAACTGGCCCCCAAAAACAGCAGTGGCACCCTGTGCCCTGAGCCAGCAGCATCCCCACACACGTGGGTGCCCCTGAGCCCAGCAGGGAAGCCACGTCCCAGCATGATCCATGACACAGGGGCTCTGTCCCAGCCCTGCGTGCCTCAAAGCCACCAAGGTGCCCACTTTGGTGGCGATCCCACGGATTTGGCCCCACGGAGCCAGGCACTGTGGGCTGTACAAGGAGCTGCCCCTCTCTTTCGCAGCTCAAAAGCCCAGTCGTTAATTGCTGGGTGGGAAAACGGAGGTGGAAAGCGACCAAGGGACCTGCTGGTCTCATCCACGCGTTTTTAAGGCATATTTTGCAGGAAGGTTGTGCTCCCGCGTGACTCCGATGGCTGGAGCCAGCCCAGCTCCCTGTCATCCCAGCTGCAGCTCCCTGGGGGTGTGGGAGAGCAGCGGGAAAGGAGGAAAGAAGAAGATGAAAGCGGGACTCGCTGACATTTATTTGGTTTGTGCATCAGACTAAAGCAGCGTTTCCTCCTTCGGATCTCTGGCTCCAAAACAGCCCCAGGTGCTGGACGGGGAAGGGGCTGTCTCGCTTGGATGTGACACCCAAGTGACACTGGAGGAGGAGGAGGAGGATGGACAGCTGCAAGGTTCAACAAGTTCCATCCGTGGCCTGCTTGGAAAAGGCATTTATTTGCTGTAAACCTCTGTTGTGACGTATAGAAAACCAGGGAGAGGAGCGGGAGCTTGATCAAGTTTGAATCCTGGTGAGAGTTCTCCTTAGAAGAATGGTTAGAAGGGGGAAAAAAATAATAATAAAAAAAAAAAAAGGTGGCTTTAAAATCAAAACTGTGCCATAAAAAAAAAAAAAAAAAAAAAAGAGCATTTCTGCTAGTTAAAAGCCTTTAACTAGAAGAACTTTTTGTGTTTTCTCCTTTACAAACATAGTGCATCTGCGATCACTGGGAATTCCGGTCCGTCTGGGAAAGGGCCTGTGCTGGGGCTATGGAGAGGCTGCTGGTGTCCCGGGGAGAGCCGGCAGCGGCGTCACATGTGCGCTTCGGAGGCTGGGCAGCCCGGCAGCAGCTCCCCGTTCACCACCGCCTCCGACACCAGCATCTTGTCTTTGCCAGAATCCAGGCGCTGCTTCTTCAGCATCCTCTGGTGGACCAGCGGCACCACGGAGAGCACCAGGCCGCCGATGATGGGCGGCACCCCGGCAAAGTAAAAGGCCGCGTCGTAATTCCCAAAATAATCGTTGAGGTATCCTGGAAGAGAAGAGGGGTGAAGTTAGGGCCTCGTCAGTCTAATGAGCTCATTAGTCTAATGACCTGTTTTGTTCCCTCCTTCCAGTGCAGCTTGCGTCACCCACCAGATTTGGGGAGATTTGGGTTTTTAAAATAATCTTTTTTTTAGTCCCGTTTGCGTTTCTTGGAATTTTTACACCCTGGATTAAAGGATGTGTTCAGCCAACACTGTGTACCAAGGGAGTGGAGAAGGAAAGCCTCAGCCATCCTTCCTTTTTCACCAGAACAGGACACAATCGGCCACATCCCAGACAATCCCAAATGCAAGCTGGGACGTGTTAAACCCAACACTTCTTCCCAGAGGCTTTGCCAGCCAGGAGGCAATGGGAAAAGTGGGCAGGGGCTGTTCCTCTGCTGAATGCCTCCATCTGGAAGCCCTGCCCTCATGGATATTTTATCTCCAGCTGTGAAATACACGCTGCCAGCTACAAACAATAGCCCAGCCTTTAAAACCCAACAAGGTTCTGCATTTGTCTGGCAAGTTCCAACACAGCCAGGCATCCTTGGGGAATAACACGTGGCCATCGATCAGCGCTGGAAAATCCTTCTGGGTGTCTCCTGTGTGGACACTTCCCTGGGGATTTGGCTGATGCAAAGGGCCCCTTCACCCAGCAGGCCCCACTCAGGGGGTGCCCTGGTGCAGCACCCTCCCAGTGAGAGGTCTGAGACCCCCACGCTCCTTCCCGAGGGCGTTAAAGTGAACTTTGCTGCCGGAAGCAGAGAGATCGGAGGTGCTTATCCAGCTTTGGCTTAGCGCTGCTGATGCAGAGGTCCCACTGCTCAGGGGCAGCTCTGGCAAAGCCCTCGCCGTTAAGGACGTTGGGGTTATTGCTGTGCTGGAACACAGACCCAGGTCTTGTGGAGGCTCAGGTGTCTCCATCTCCAACTTCTGTTCCATCTAAAAGGACTTCTAGAAAATTATTATCTGTCAATTTTTAGCTCAGCTGCAAATAGAAATCACTTAATGTGACCTTGGCTCACTGTTCCCCCAGTGATCACCTTCCATCAGCCTTGAGAACAGCCCTGAGATGCCACGGGATGTGGCACAAAGTGGTGCCACCCCCACTCCTCAACCTCCACGTGACTGATAAACCAGAAAACTCCAACCAACACTTCTGGTCTCACACCAAAACACCACCAAGGGCGAAAGCTGCCACCACCATCTCCCTCCCAACTGCTGGCTCCCGGTCCAGCCCCGTGGTGTCACCAACCTGCTATGGGCGTGCCCGCGGTCATGGGCACGGCCATCAGCCCCATGAGGTACCCTATGGCCTGGGACGCCTGCATGGGCCCCACCAGCTCGAAGGCGATGGGGGCCATGATGGTGGTGAAGAAGCCGTCGCAGAGGCCGAGGAAGAGGCAGATGACAATGACGCCCTCGAAGCCTCGGCACTGGGGGATCATCATGCACAGGAGACCCAACAGCATGAAGGACGCGACCTGGGAAGAGGGAAGCGGGCGTGAGAGTGGGGATGGGCAGCAGGAAGGGTGATGGAGATGACACTGAACAGGTCAATGTCACTGCTCCCTCCCCTGGACCCAGCAAAGCCATCCAGCCACTGCTCCTGTCTCGGAGAGGCCCTTAAGAACAACCTTTTAAGAAGGGTTAAGAAGGATTAGCTGCTGGATTAGCTGCTAGATTTCAGCAGTTTGCTCTTCAAAAACCACAAGGAGGTGAAAGGGTGTCAGTAGTTTGGGAAGAGTTGCTACCACTGAGTTTGACTGCTGAGCAGACACCAATCCCTCAGGTCAAGTTTGTAACTCCTCTTACACACTTCTGCAGTAAATTTTCTTCCCTCACAGCAGACAACGGCTGGTAAAGGCTTTATGATTGACACTTATTAAGCAGAGTGTGGACACCACTGTAGAGAAAGCATCCCTGCCCCGCTGTGGTTGGCCAGCACCTCCATGGAGGGCTGGACACACCGTACCTGCAGGTAAATCTTCTTCAGCCCAGGAATGCAGTCGCCAATGCGGCCTGAAACCAAGCGCCCCAGCCCCGACATGGCCCCGATGCAAACCAGGAGGATCCAGTCCTTCTTGGTTTCCTGAAATCGCTTCTCCACGTATTTGACCTAGGATGGAGGAAAGGACACAAGGACGTGAAGCTGCAGTACACTGATCCCTCTCGTCTCCCCAGAAGGGATGAGATTTTCTGCAGAGGGCTCATGGATTTGGGGTGGTTGTGTGACCCTCACATTGACCTGCACCCTCCACCCACCCCAAAACCAGCAGTCCCTTCCTCTCCGGCTACTGGTGCTGGTCAGGAACGCTGCAGAGTGACCCTGGCCTACCCTGGCACAGGAGGGACAGAGCAAAACCATATCCATCGCTATTCCTGTTTACAGGATGTGCAGCAGTTCTTGGCTTCGAGGCTTTTGGTGCCTCTGCCCCTGCTGCCCATCCCCACCTTCCTCCTCCTCCTCCCTCTGGGCAAAGGGACCTCCCTCCCCTTCCAGCCCCAGCCATGGCTCTTACCAGGTTCATGTAAGGTACGAGGTATCCCAGGACAGCAGTAGCGATCCCAAAGGCCCAAATCCGATAGGTCTTTCTCCGGAAAACCCTCAGGTTGAAATACTTGCGGGTCTGGGCCCAGCACTGCTGTCTCATGCTCTGGCTGCCCAGCTTGTCGTGCCCATCGTGCTGAGAGTCACAAGAAGGCGTCAGGATGGGCCGGTAGGTCATGGACAAGAAGATCTGGATGAGCATTAAGGCACTGAGTACTTGGAACGTGTGTGCCAGCCCGATGGCACCCCCGACCATCTTCAGGAAGAAGGGGAGCGGCACGGAGATGAGGCAGCTGCCCCCGGCCACGATGCCGTTGGCCAGGCCCAGGCGGCGCTTGAAGTAGTGCCCGAGGATGACCAGTGAGGGCTGGAAGGCGAAGGAGCTGCCACAGCCAAAGAGGATCCCATAGGTGAAATAACGAACTTCCAGGGACCTGGTGGGGATAAAACACACGGGAGCGGGGATGTGAGGCAGAGGTGAGGGAGCCTCACGCCTCACGGCCCAGCAAAGGCCCGGGTCTCACATGCCGCAGGTGCTGCACAGACAGTCTGACCTCAAGGAGCTTATTCCCTTGGCAAAGGGAGGATTATCCTCACTTAACAGCTGGCACACGAAATCTTCAGCAAAATGAAGTGGAGCTGGGAAGTGCTTTCTGCCACCAGGAGAAGGCAGCAGCCAACCTGGCCTCCTTGGGAAGCTGACCTCACTTCAATGGTTTTTAAATTACAGCAAACAAGATTTTCTAAGGTAGAGACGGTGGGATATTTTTAGCTAGAAATCCTTTTAATTTTTCCACTGAAAAGACTAATTGAAAACATTCTGCACCCAGTGTTTGGAAGCAGAAGGCACCAGCCCTGCTGCTTATTAGGCACGTAAGAAGGAAATGTGGTGTTTCTGCCCAGGCTCCAGGCTGGTTAATTAAGTTCTTCTTCTTTAAGCTCCTCTGGGAGCTTAAATTAGACAGTTAATAGATCTCATTTGTACCTTACATTGGTGGCTGCACTCAAGGAGGGAGTGGTTGCTCTTCAGAGCAGATGGAGAGTCCTGAAAACCCTTGGAAGGAGCTGCCTCCCAATTTCCAGCCCTATTTTCCCAACAGAAGCAGCTGACAAAGGAGCCTGGATTTAGGCAGCACAAACAACCTGTTGTGTTTCTCTCCAGATGAAGGAATCTTTTCTTCCTAACCCTCTCCATACATCCAGCTGCAAAGGTCTGCCATGGGATACTGCCTGGGAGGATATTGTGAGGAAAACCTTTGGGAAGCTCAGGGTGTTGTAGAAGCAGGGTCTGTGCTGCAACCCTTGGAGCAATGGAGCACTGCTCCCAAAGCAAGTGAGGAGACAGCAGCCCACATCTACCAGAGCAGCTGGAAGTTGGGAAAACCTTCACAAGCACATCATTCCTTCCATTACACGCCCATCCCTCCAGCCTGCCAAGCAGAAAGCAGAGCACGGTCGCCGTGCCCGACAGCTTCGAGACAAATGACTGTCATGAAAGGCAATTTCCAGCCACTCCAGAACAAAACCACATCAGAAGCCCCCTCTGTGGGAGCCAGGCAAGCAGCTGGTCCTTGTTGGCCGTGCCCAACCTCCCACGCACCAGCCCTGGCCTGGTCACAGCAGCCCCAGTGCCGCAGCTAAGCTGACGTGTCGGAGAAGTGGAGACAAATGCCACGGTTCCCATCTGCTCCCTGCTGATGCTCAGACACCCTTGCATGAGCAGAGGCTCCTTTCAGCCATGCTTCTTAAGGAGCCAGGATTTCCCAGCCTGCTTACTGGGAATCAGCCAGCTGTTGTCCGGTGGGAAGGGCGGCATCGTCTCCTCGGATTGTGAGGCTGCCAATGGAGAATTGTTTCTCCTGGGGCAAGGAGGCCTCCCTCCATCAGCTTCCTCTTGCTTCCAGCTCTCAGTGGGAACAGCCCTGGTCCATCCTTGCTGGCAGAAGTTTGGGGGATTCCTCTGTGCAGGAGTAACTGGGCAGAAATTGTGGAGGGGAAGGAGAAGCAGATGAAAAGGGAGTCAATCCTCCATACAGAGCACTAAGTGCAGAGGAGGGCTGAGAGGGCACTGGGGACATGTGGAGACAGCCCTGCTGAGCTGGCCATCATCTCCTGTTCCTAATGTTAAACCAACCTCCTTAAACTGGAGGGAAGCTAAAGCCTTAACTGGAATTTCTCTTTTCTTGAGAGCACAAAAGGTCTCTGGTGGCTTGAGCTGGTTACGAGCGCAGGACACACCTCGGAGCAAGGCAGCAGAGAAGAAAAGCCTCACTTGACCCATCCAGCCTTCCCCAGAGCTTTGCTTTTCAGCATATTTGGTTTCTTTAGTAGTTTTCATACAAAATTCCCAATATTTTGAGACAAGAGGCACTGAACCGGGCGCTGGGGTCTTGCCACACAGGTTTGGTGGCTCAGAGGGTTTTTGGAGCAGTGCTGGGAACTGCTGCTCCTCCCTTTGGACAAAACAAACCCATTTTAGAGAAACCAGGAGATAAAGGGGGAGATGAGCCTTGATCCAGCTCTGCCTGAGCCCACCAAATCCAGGCTGTGCCCCTTTGCAGCAGTGCTTCTATCACAGGGCACTGATCTCCAGCTGTGGCGGAGGGACTTGGCAGGAGGGACCATAAAAAAAGCTTCTCCATTGTTCTGGGAGAGCTGGAGCCACAAGGCCCGAATTTCAGGAGCAGCTTCACCATCCGGATGGAGAGCTGCCAAATCCCACAGCCTCCCTGCTCCTCCTCTGGCCCCGCTCGGCTCTGCCGTCGCAGCTTCCCTCGCTGTGGTCCAGCTGCAGAGGGGCTCCTTTCTCCCTTAAAAGGCAGCCAGAGGAATGTGGTCCAAGAGTGAGAGGCAGGAAATGGGGATTTCAGTCCTGTAGCTCTCCTGGAAATTATATTCCTCTCTGTCTGTAGTGTTGGATTCATTTTTTTGAAGCCCAACACAACAAGCCCCTGGCAGTGGTGCGGTCCCACGAGCCCTTTTTCTTTGCACAAACATTTTCCAGTAGAGGGGAGAGAAAAGTCCAAGCTCCATTGATTAGAGGGAAAGCAGGATTACATGGGAAGCTCCTGTGATCTGCATGCCAGGGCACAGCTTCCCTCAGGAGCCACTGCACCCTTTGGAAACACCAAGGGTGGCACCTGAGGAGGAAGATGCAGATGGTTGTTCCTTCCATGGTGCTGCCCGAAATGGTTTTAGCATCCCAAAAATCCCATCTGCAGCTGGCCACAGTCCTGATGTTGATCAGAACTGATCCCCACTCCCAGCATGATGGGGGGATCCCACAGGATCCCACTTGGGGATCCAGGGAAACAGGGTTGGGATGAGCACAAGGGTCTCGCTGACCAGGAGGAGCACAGTGCGGGTAAGTCGCCCTCTGGAAAACTGGTGTGTATTTGCTTTAAAAACCCACTCCTTGAAGCATTTTAATTAAAACAATATTGATTTTAACTGAAATCCAACCCAAACAACGTTTTTAGTCAGAAAAAGTGGGGCAAATGGTGTTTTGGAGGTGTCTCCATGGAGCCTCTGAGACTGTGTTTAATAAGTGTCACATAAATTACCCCAGACGTGACCTCTTTTTGCTCCCACAACGATGCCAACCCCGATTCTTGGGCTGGAAAGACACACAAGGTACACCTGCCGTCCAAATGCACATTGGCCAGTGCCTGCCAGCAGAAATTCATGGCATGGGATCAGGCATGGAAAACCAGGAGCAACAGTGACCCTGTGCTGCCACAGACACATGAGCCAGGGCAGGAACACCACAAACAGCTCCAAACCCTGTCTGCCTTCCCCTCCCTGTCTGCCCTGCACAGAAACTCCCTCTTAAGCATAATCCACCAAATATTATTTCAAGAATTAATTTACTTTCAGCACCAAATGTGAAAATGGTTGCAAAGGAGCAGGATTTTTCTCTGTGAGAAAAACTGAAGCTACCAGGAGAGGTACACCAACTTCTCCTGCTGTTTTAGAGATCAAACGAGGGACCTGAGTGCTGAAATCCCAGAAAATACAGCCCCTTACTTGGGTAAAATTCACCCTCTTTTTACCTAAGGACACAAGGTTCAGTTTGGAGGGCACCAGGCCGGGAACAGAGGAGCTGTAGGGATGCCAGGACACCTCTTGTGTGGAGGGGAACCTCCTGCTTTGCCCCCAAAGGCAGCAGCAGTGTGTTGACAGGGGGTTGACAGAGAGGAAGAGGAGCTCTCCACAGAGCTGTGTGTCCCCTCCCCAGCCTTACTTGGTGAAGGAGCTGGAGAGGAGCCCGATGAAGGCGATGGTAGCTCCCATGGCTGCCGTGGTCCTGCAGCCGATCCGGTCGGTGAAGATGCTGACGATGGGAGAGCAGAAAAAAATCATCCCCATGGCCAGGGAGCCGACCCATGCTGGGGAGAGAGAGGAGAAAGGTGATGGTCAGGGTGGGACATCCAGCAGGGGCAGTGGGGAATCAGCCAGGGACCAAGTGCAGCTTTGGAGGTGTCTGGGCAGAGAGGCAGCCCCATCACACAGTTAATTAACGGTGTTAAGTGCTGTTAATTAGCAGTGCAACTCATAAATGACGCAGAGACCCGGTGGCACCACAGATGGAGCACGGACAGGTTTTCCTTGGATTCCTCTCTGCCGGGTTACTGTGTCCCAGGGAGGGCACCAAGTTTCAATGCTCTTTCCAAACAACTTTTGCTGCACATGGGAAAATCCCCCACTGATGGCACTTCCATCAGGAATCTCCACAGCCAAAATCTCCAAGTTCTCTCCCAGCTTTGGCTAGGGAGAGTTTCCTATCCTGAGTTACGGCCCTGCATTCCCAGGGAGCACTCTCACCCAGCCCTCCCTCACTCCTCAGAGCCAGCACTCCTCACCTTCCCCTCTCCCCACGGTAGGTGAGGACTCCTCCTGGCAGCTGAGCTGATGGAGACACATGTTTATCCCAAGTTAAATTCCACCCCTGACCTCGCCAGGCAATGCCCAAGTGGGACCATCATGCCCTGTCTCCTTCCAGCCGCTCTGGAGAAAACCACTGTCTGTCTGTCTGTCTGTCTGTCTGTCTTTTTTTCCAGAAATTTTAATTATTCACAGGGTTTGTTTTTTTTCATCCCATCATAGAATCATTAGGGTTAGAAAAGCCTTTTAAGATCCTCAGGTCCAACCATTCCCCTGGCACTGCCAAGCCCAGCACTAACCCATATTCCCAAGTGCCACATCCACATGGCTTTTAATTCCCTCCAGGGAAAACGATTCCATCACTGCCCTGAGCAGCCTGTGCCAGTCTTTGACCAGCCTTTTAGTGAAGAAATTTTTCCTAATACCCGACCTAAACCTCTCCTGGCACAACTTGAGGCCATTTCCTCTTGTCCACCATCTTCTCTCTGTCTTCCACCTTCTCCCTGCCCTCCACCTCCTCCTTTTAATGGTTTATGTGACTGTTTTGGGGAGGAAAGACAGGATTTCAAGAAAAGCAATGTGGTAAGGAAAATAATTTCAATTCTAACAGCTCTAAGGAGAAGCAAGAGGTCCCCTGGGTGGTGTGTGGGGCAGAGCAGGATGGACAGAGGGACAAGCAGCCCCCATCCCTGACACCAAAGTGGGAGCACCTCCTGGAGCATCTCCAAGCTCCAGGTGCCATCTCTGGGCTGCCAAGCACAGCCCCAGGACGTGTGGTCCTTTTACCTTTTTTTACCTCTTTTCAGGGTTGCTTTTTAAATTTTCTTTTTTTTTGCACCCAAGCCAAGGGCTCTGCAAACCTTTTCATCACAGCCCTGCATAAAAACACCCTCATGGTCCTTTCTGAGCTGTGAGATCTTCAAAAAATAGCCAGGTCCCTATTAAAAGCAAATCCCAGCTATAGAACAGCCTCTCCAACCTCTGCCTTTCACAAAAGGACCACACAAAGAAGCCCTCCCCAGGCTGGGAAGAGCTGACCCTTCCAAATTAATTATAAGTTCACAAGGACCCAATTTACTTCAAAATCTTCCTTAATAAATGCAGAGTGGAGCAATAAAATCAAAAGCAAGGGCTGCACAGGAACCTCGTGGGACTGGCTGGGCTCTCATCTCAACTCCAGGCAAAAAAAGACGGGAGAAGGGAAGGGAGAGGGAGAGGACCCCCCTCTCCAGCTGATTTTCTTGGTTATAAACACAAGGCACAGTGTAACGAAAGTCCCTCTAATAGGATTAGGTGGCACGGATCCAAAGAGCCGTCCAAAACAGCTCCGAGAGGGGGTGAGGGGTGGGAGCCACGCCAGGATGGGAAAGGCTCGTTAAATTGGATAATATACTTCCAGAAATGTTCCTTCTACTCCAGCCAAGGCAGTAAAACGTTAGATGGCCCCGTCATGTTTGAAGTTTGTTATTTTTGGAAATTGCTTTAAGAAACGAGGAAATAAAAGCATAAAGCGAAGTATTAAATTTAAAGGGCCAGATTCGGATCTTAATAACCCGGGGATTTACATGCAAATAGGCAGGATCAATCTCTGGCCCCAAAAATGCACACTCACCTGCAGAGATCAAAGCAAACCCAGGGCAGGAGGCTCAGCAACGGGTGCTTAAAAGCTCCTCCAGCTCTGGGTTTGTAAAAAGGAGATATCTCTCAATTAAAATTGGTAAACACGCACAAAAAAAAAAAATAATAAGTCCTGTGGCAAATTGCTCTACCTTAGAGAAAGGGCTTACCACAAGCAATGAATAAAAATAGGCTTGGGGAAGAACATCCAGTTAAAATTAGTAAGAACAATAGCCTCACTTCCAGAGCGGGGTTTTGTCTTCCCAGCGCTTCCCAGCGAAGCCCCGGGAAGCCGGGAGGGCTGGGCGAGCTCCAGCGCTGGAAGGAAACCTCGGCAAAATCTGGGGGCAGGAGAAAACCGCCTCGGTGCCGGCTCCGTTCCCAGCATGATTCACAGCAAAACACCCCTGGAGAGTGGGGTGCACAGTTCTCCCCCCCTGTTTTATCCCCAGTGATCTCCACTCAGCTGGGTTGGGGCAAGGATGGGGGGAAGTCAGAGCAGAAAAGCACAAGTTGGGAAAGAAATGGAGTTCAGGTGAAATCTAGCCACAAAACCTGCCCCTTTGGGCATGGTCCTTGGATCAATTCCAGGGAAGGAAGAGTTTATTTTTGGTAGTCTGTGGTGTTGAAGTTTCTCCTGGACTTTGCTGGATGTGAAGGGCAGAGGCAGCCGTTCCTCCAGTGGAAACCAGGCAAGGCTCAGCACCTTCCCCTCCTACAGCTTCTCCAGCTCTGGAGAAGTTACCTCTTGATTTAAAGCCACATGAGAAAAAAGGGGGCGATTTTTGCTTCTGATTTCCAGAGGGTTTGGATGGGATGGTTAATTCCCAGCCTGGCCCCACCTCCCACCCTCTGTGGCTGATAAGCTGGGCGAGATATGGAAACACACTGACAAGCCCCCACATGAGGCACGGAGTCTTATCAAGCAGGTCCTAAAAGAAGCTATGGAGAGAATCCAGCTGAGGATGGGGCTGGAAGGAGCTCAGGAGCTGCCAGAACTTTGACAGGGATCGGGTTAAGACTTGATTGTGTTTCAGGGTGCAGTGAGTCCAAGCAGCTCCTGGGAGCACCAGCTGAAGGGGCTGGTTTTGGAGCTGGGTGCCATGGGGGGACCTGGCTGGTGACAGGGGTGTCTCGACAGAAACAACTTGACAGATGACACGCAAGAGATGTCCTGACAGAAACACAGAATGCTTCAGAAACCATATTTTTAGATTTAAAAGAAACAAAAGGCATGAAAGCACTCTGCTTTCGGTGAGGGGAGATACACGTGACTTCTGATTTGGGGGCTGCTGATACTAGAGGTGACTCAGGGTGTGTTGTCCCTCCCTGACAGCTGACTCTGCTTGGCACGGAGAGTTACCTCGAGCCCAGACCTGTCCATCCCACCCTGCTCCCACCACAGCCCCTCCTGAAGGGATTGAAGCAGTGGCTGAGGAGTCAGGACCCCCCCAGGACACACACCCTGCTCCAGGGGGCTGGGAGACAGCACCAGCCCCAGCTGCCACCCCAGCCCAAACCACCTTCTGAGCTGATGGCATCTTTCTGGTGGTCCTAGGGATGCTCTGTGGTAGGGGAAGAGTTCAGTGTGGGGCTGGTGCTGCTTTGCTGGAGCAGAGTGGTTGACCAAGGAGAACATTCCACCAGCACCTCTCACACAAAGGGGAAAGCTCGAGCTAAAGGTCCACAAATGGTTCCTTCCCACCTTGACATAACAAAGGCAGCCAAGCTGGTGGCCCGTGGCTGATCCAAAGTGATGTGGCCTTCAACATGGACAGGGAAGGCAGTGATTGAAGTTCTCCAGGAGGAACAGCGATTCAGTGGTGTAAGAGATCACAGAATCATAGAATCAGAAGGGTTGGGATCGGAAGGGACCTTAAAGATCATCCAGTTCTGCCCCCTGCCATGGGCAGAGATGCCTTCCACTATCCCAGGTTGCTCCAAGTCCCATCTACCCTGGCCTTGGACACTTCCAGCTGTTGCAATAGCATGGCCAGGATGATCCATCCTCTCCAACACCACTCAGCCTGGGTTTGGGACAGAGTGAAAACTGGGGAGGTGACCCATTTGTCCACCAGCCCACTTGTCCTCCAGCCCAAGAGCACCCAACTGTGCCCATGGTGGAGCAGGGAACAGGAATGGTTTGGTCACCTTCTCTTCCTCCTACCAGTGGGTGACAAAGCTCCAGGGGACCCTGTGGCAGAGGAGGACAGGCACATGGGGGCTGGGGGGCTCAGCTCCCCCTGCAGTGGGGCTGGTGATGCTGAGGGGTCCCTAAGGGCTGTGAGCACCATGTCTGTGTGCTCATGGTGGGCAGGGCCCTCAGGGCCAGTCCAGGTGGTCCCACCTGGGTACCAGATCAGCTTTCTTTCCAGCCAGACCATCCAACAGGATGACAAACTCCCCCGTTGCTGGCATTTTCCTCAGCAGAAAAAGGTTTCTGAGAGCAGAGCAAGGTAGGAGCAGGAAGGTGAGAAAGGAAGAAAATCTCAGCACTCTGAGACGCGGATCCAAGCCCCGCCGGTATTTAGCTCATTGTTCCAAAAAACATCATTAAAAAATCAGACTGCAGCGCTTGAAGCCAAACCCATTTGTTCCTTTAAAACCGAATCTCCAGGGAGAGAGGAGGAAGGGACGTCGCTCTCAGCTGTGCTTCCCCGCTGACCCAAATACCCCGGGCTGGAGGGATCAAGGGCCAGGAGGTGACCTCAGATCCGCCGCTGGAGGAAGTGTCTTCCCTCGCTTCCCGCGGCTTCTCCCGCTCGCGCCGCGCAGCTGGGACAGGGTGGCTGCTGGAGGGGACAGGGACGAGATGCACAGGGTCACCTTCCCCTGGCACCTGGCGCTTCTCAGAGGAGACATGAGGTAGCCAAAGGTAATTCGCCTCCTGCACCTCTCCCACAAGAAATAAATCACTTTTTGACTCATTCAAGGCACGGGGAAGCTCAGCTGCTGTGATAAACCTCATCACGCACCTTCACAGCTCTCCCCAGTCCTACCTGGCTCGATTTTGGGGTGGCCTGGGAGCCCAGACAACCCCGTGGCCCTTCCCAGAAGGAGGCTGAGGAGGAGCAGGCAGCTGTGCCCCCTCAGCAGGGCTCCCACAGCACATCTGGAATGAAAACCAAGCAGCTGTTTCATCTCGTGCCCTTGAAGAGCCATTTGCGTCATCCCCTTGTGCTCTCAAAGCGAAGCCTGAAACGCTCCCAGCCCCATGTGCTCAACACCCCCCACGGGCTGAGCCAGTCCCAGGGACGGATGGTCAAGGCTTAAATAAAGGCAGATGCAAAAATCAGAGCTGAGGAAGCCACCACGATGCACGGTGGGATGGGAAACTGAGCTGGAGAGCAGAAAAACAGAGCTGAGGAGTTTGAAACTGAAGCTGGGGAACCCCAAATTGAAGCTGAAGAGCAGAACGAACC